AGTGATCTCCCCCCATGAGCTGATCTAAATTTATAGGGAGATGCTTAAATGAGCATTCAACTCCACCCCAATTAGAAGCTGATAAGGATCACATGAATAGTGGGGGTGTTTCACAGGGAACAGGCTACAGTCATAAACTGGGTGCAGCTAGAGGTGAGGGCTGGTCAACATATACACAAATATAAATACACCATTTGTTCTGAATTTAACAGGAGTCAATGCGTTTTTCTAGTTAAGAGCAGAGGTAGGAGAAAGATGCATTTACCCAGAGAAAGCAGCAGAAGTCAGTGCGTTTTTCTAGTTAAGAGCGGAGGTAGGAGAAAGATGCATTTACCCAGAGAAAGCAGCAGGAGTCAGTGCGTTTTTCTAGTTAAGAGCGGAGGTAGGAGAAAGATGCATTTACCCAGAGAAAGCAGCAGGATTCAGTGCATTTTTCTAGTTAAGAGCGGAGGTAGGAGAAAGATGCATTTACCCAGAGAAAGCAGCAGGAGTCAGTGCATTTTTCTAGTTATGGCTGAAAAAAGACAAAAGTCCATCCAGTTCAACAATTAAAAAAAAAGTTATAATCCTATACCCACAGTTGATCCAGAGGAAGGCAAAAAAAAACAGCAAAGCATGATCCAATTTGCTCCTGCAGGGGAAAAAAATTATTTCCTGATCCCCAAGACGACATTCCCTGGATAAACTTTACCTATAAGTGTTAGCATCCAGTTATATTCTGTGTATCTAAGAAAGAATCCAGGCCTTTTTTAAAGCAATCCACTGAGCTGGCCAGAACCAACTCTTGAGGGAGTCTATTCACATTTTCACAGCTCTTACTGTGAAGAAACCTTTCCATGTTTGGAGATTAAATTTCTTTACCTCCAGACGTAAAGATTGCCCCCTTTTCCTTCGTGATGAACTCAGGGTGAATAGCTCTACACCAAGTTCACTATATGAACCACTGATGTATTTATACCCGTTGATCATATCCCCCCTTAATCTCCTCTTCTCAAGAGCGAATAAATTCAGTTCCTCTAATCTTTTCTCATAGCTGAGCTCCTCCATGCCATACTTATCAGTTTGGTTGCCCTTCTCTGTACTTTCTCCAGTTACCCAATGTTCTTTATGTGAATTGGTGCCCAAAATGAACTGCATATTCCAGATGAGGTGTTACTAATGATTTGTATAGGGGTAAAATGATATCTCTCTCTCTGGAGTCTATACCTCTTTTAATACAAGAGAGGATTTTGCTTGCTTTAGAAACCACAGCTTGGCATTGCAGGTCATTATTAAGCCTGTGATCTACCAGAACCTCCAGATCCTTCTCTTTTTTTTTTTTTTTGATAATCCAATGGTTTTATTCTATATGAGAAGAATGGATACTACAGTGGGAGGTAAAAAGCTTTGAATTCATAACACTCTTTCCCCAAGTGTTATTAGTATGGTGGTTTTGAATTGATTCTTTCCATTTCCTATGGTTAGGACATATTTATATTCATTTTTTTTTCATATTTTATTATAAATTTTCGAATTACCATTTTACATATACAAAAGCTAATAAAACAAACAGAATAGGATACTCATATTTATCTGACCTTAGATCAAAATGTTAACATTGCTCTTGGTATCTTTTTTTTTTCCCCGCCAATTCCCCTCCCTCCCCACCTACCCCATACCTCCCCAGCCCCCCATCCCTTCTTACATAGCCTTTGATTATGCTTTCCTACTCGTTCTATTGCTCCTATTCAAAGAATAATACCATTTTAATTTATTATTACAATTATCCTCCATGACTTCTTTTCTCTATTACATATGTTCTAAAAATGAGTTTGACTTTTTATATTCCTCCCACTTTTTCCATCTTATACGAAAAATCTCCATTCTATCTTCATCCATATGGTAAAGTTCCTCCAATCTATAAATCCTCTCCACCCTATCTCTCCAATCCTTTACTCTCGGTGCCTGTTGTTCCCTCCAAAATTTGAGTATCAGGCCCTTCGCTGCATTCAAGTAGTACACTAATCCATTTTTTAATATTTTTTTACTGAGAGCTCAGAGCCATAGAAAAGACAAATCTCTGGATCCTTTGGGATATTAACCTACGTTATTTCCTGTATTAAGTGTACTATACTGTAACGTACATGAAAGATTTAAGTAGCTGAGATGTGATCTGTAGAAAATATGACAATGTAGAGACATATGGTCACCAATTAGCATCTGAAAGGGACAGAGCTTCCTCTGGACTGGAGGTGACACCTGGATGCCAATAAGATTTGTCACCTTCTGGGAAATCTGGAAGGAAAAGGCTCCAGACAGTTAGGCTTCATGACACAGCAGGAGACCAGAGTTGGTTCCGATGTGTCTGGGAGCTTTGAAGTATATCAGCAGATCAAAGGAATATATTTCATCTCTCATAAAAGCTAAAATATTAGTTGCAAAGAGATGAAAATACTTCCTTCTGATTGGACACACTGTAGGCTACACCTGCATGTAAAACTGTATTTGTAGCCTATGTAGAATCCCAGAGAAATGCAGAGAATGGTTTTATGGCACCTGATTGCGACAGCTGAACAGTAATTGGTACTGTCGCGATCAGACTGATGCGCTTGGTGTCGGAAATTCAACCCCTGACTTGGTGATTCAAACCATTCCTGGTCCAATCGACTTTGGGCATTTCAGTACCCAGAATGTCCTGTGGGCTGGTACAGGAACACCCCCCAGAGTCGATTGGCCAAGGGCTAATGTCCAGCCTACGTCCATATTCCCATAAATTGAGAACCTGGGATATGGACGTTGTGATTCGTATGGAGCCAGTTCTATTGACTGATGGATTGCAGACTTTTTCTCTGACTTGCTCCAGTCGCAGGATAACTCTTGGTAAAAGTTTTATTTCTGTTTTTATTTCCCTTTTATTTTATAGTCAGTAGCCAATTGTGTGTATTCTTGTATTTCTTGTATTTTCTGTAACTGTTTATGCTTTGTACATATTTTATGCACTGCCCACTTTCGGGATATTAAATCATAAAATTAATAAGTGACTTCTGGTTACTTAAGCTCTGGCTCATATCTCTATAGAGATTAGATTGTATTGTATTGCAGTGTCTTTATATACTCGGTCAAGTTCATTGCCAATCTGTATGCAATTGCACTGCGTGTTGGAAGATTGCATGCAGATTGTAAAGGTCTGCCAGACGGAGATCTGCGTGTGTGTGGTGGCTCAGCAGGCCAGTAAAAGTGTTGGGTGGTGGCAAGCTACAGTTTGTGGTGTGTCTGGTGGGGGGGTGTGTGGACAGTGGAAGAGTGATTAACACCGGGGTTCTAGCTTGTAGGATAGCTGGAGGAATCCTAGAAGGGTGTGCAATTGCTAGGCTGCTCCTCAACCCTTAGTGTGCACCAGACTGTATATAAAATTCGTGTCTGCCTGTGTGTGTGGTCAGCCAGCTGTATTGGAGTGGAGTCTCCCTCTAGTGGTGGCCAGAGGTAGTGCGGGCTGTGCAATTATATCACGGCTGGTCTTATATACTTATATATATTCAGATTAAGTCCCCCCTTATTCCCTCTTACCCCAAATCATGGCCACACATGCGCACCTCGGTTAGCTAGTGGCTGTGGGCATGTGCATGTGGGTTGAATCCGTGGCATATACATCCCCAATACTCTTGTATTTTATGACACTCCCACCACAAGTGAAACGTTGTGCCTCTATCTCCACATCCATGCCAACATAAAGGTGAGTTATCTCCACTTATCCTATGTGCTACACTCGGTGTGCTACCTCCTTCATATTTACATTCCTGTGGATTAAACTATACATTTTCTTTTGTTTTTTCTCATCCATTATTACTCCTAATTCCCTTTCCTATTTCTCTATAAATGGTGGCCTTATAAGTGTAATTATACCTGTGAGAATCTTATATATTTTAGAAGTCCCATGCTTCCCATTTCCTCGTGTTTCTAATAAGTGCTCAAAGGGGTTCCAATCCTCTTTTTTTCTTAGTGGCTTTGGGAGGTTCCCTATAAAATGTTTCAACTGAAAAAATAACACCCTTCATCCATTCTCGTGAATTTTTCCCTCTTACTTTCCAATTCACTAAGTGAGCATATTTCCTCTCCCTCCATTATATCTCTTAATTGTACATCTTTCTTCTTTATCCACTTCCCTGTTATACTTTCTTTACCTGGAGGAAAAAAAACTCTGTGTACCCTAAAGGCATTAACAGTGAATTAAATTCCCACCCCATTTGTTTGTGTAAGGCATCCCAAACTCTTAAAACATTACGTGTAAACAAACTTGTGTTTTCTGCTAATCCACGGTATTGAGGAGGTAACCAAATATCTCTAGTTAAATTCGTATGACTTAGTGTATTTTCTATTTTTACCGAGCTTTTCCCCTGTGCATTATATGTCCAGTCAAAAATGCTCCCCAATATTACTGAGTTATAGTATCTTTTTATGTCTGGTACCGCCTTTCTCTTTGTCTCTACTTAGGATATCATAGCTAATTCTAGGCTTCTTATTCCTCCAGATAAATCTTGTCACGATTTTTTAAATTATTCTACAGTATGCCTCGGGTAGTTTAATTGGTAGCATTTGGAATTTATATAAGAATTTTGGAACAATCACTATTTTTATCAAGTTTATCTGCCCAATTCATGACTGAGATCCCCATCCTAGTTTCTTTATTTCATCTTTGATCTCATTCAATAGTGGAATATAATTTAATCTATATAAGTTTTTTATAGATATAGTCTATTTTGTACAAAGATATTTTAATTCTCTTTCTCTCCAGACGAAGGGGCATTCCTCCTGTAACATTTTTTTCTCTCTGTTTAGAAGATTTATATTTAAAATCTCTGTTTAAGTTGATTAATTTTTAAACTTGACATCTCACCATATTCTTTTAAAGATTTCATTAAATTTGGCAGTGTTATCCTTGGATTCCCTATATAGAACAGCATGCCATCTGCATAAGCTGCCACCTTATGCTCTATCTCTCCTACCCAAATTGCTTTTATATCTATATCAGGCCTTGAAATTTCCACTTGCCTGCTCGCCAATGGCGAGTGGAAATTATGGTGGGGGCGAGTGTGTCCCCCAGGGCTGGCTTGCTAAGCAGGCTCGGAGCTCAGGCCGGATCTGTCATTGGCACTGGAAGCCGTCCGACTGCTCAATAGCTGAGCGCAGTGAAAGCAAAGGAAGGAGTGTGTGCTGTGCTCTCTGCCTCCCCCTAGAGTGCAGTACACAGCTTTGTGAGTGAACAATGAAGTACTGCAACTTTTTATAGGGGTGTGTGTGTGTGTGTGCGCCTACCTAATTTCAGCTCACTCTGGTCACATGATCCTTTATGACAGCCAGTGGTGGCTTCAGGGGAGAGGATAGAGCACTTAACAGTGTCCGTGTCTGTGTATGCATGTACATGTGTCTGTGTGTATGTACATGTGTGTATCTATACATGAGTCTGCGTGTATGTACGTGTGTGTGTGTGTGTGTGTGTGTGTGCATGTACATGTGTGTTTGTGTGTATGCATGTACATGTGTCTGTGTGTACATGTGTCTGTGTATGTATGTACATGTGTCTGTGCGTGTGTATTTCTGTGTATGTACATGTATCTGTGTGTATGTGTGTCTGTACGTGCCTGTGTGTTTATACATGTGTCTGTATGTATGCGTGTGTGTGTACATGTGTCTCTGTGCATGTATGTGTGTATGTACATATCTGTGTGTGTGTACATGTGTCTCTGTTTGTTTGTGTGTGTTTGTTGGTGGCGAGTAACTCTTAAGGCCTGGCTAGTAGCTCAGGACTTGAAATTTTAAGCCCTGATCTATATTATTCCTGATGGTAGCCAAGAAAGTTTCCAGAGATAAAACATATAACAATGGAGACAGAAGGCATCCCTGTCTAGTTCCATTCTGCATCTCAGTATATCCTGACAATTCCCCATTAACCATGATTGCAGCCTAGACCAGCAAAATATTTAATGAGGGATCAGAAGAAAAGAAGAAAAAAAATCTAGGAAATTATAAGAGAAAATAAGAGATGATAAAGGAGAATTAGTGTACTCAACTAAAGATATAGCAAAAGTGTTTAAAGAATATTATAATAATTTATATAATATTAAGCCCCATGGTATTATAGAAGAAGACGAAGTAAGAAAAACAGAAAGAAGACAGGCATAATTAAAAAAGGCGGGATTACCGAAATTAAGCGAAGAACAATTAAAACCCCTGGAAATAGCAATAACAAATGAAGAAATACATATAGAATTAAAAAATACGGTAGCTGGGAAAAGCCCAGGTCCCAATGGGTATACAGCGAGATACTATAAAAAATATTTTATCCTGCAAGCTAATGTCGTCCTCATACGTAAGGAAGGTAAAGATGATACCCATTGTTAAATTATATGCAAAAGTACTAGCAAACAGGTTGAAAGATTTAATGCCGAAATGGACACATACTATATAGACCAAGTAGGGTTTGTCCCAGGGAGAGAGGGTAGAGACAACGGGTTTCCCAGTTTCTCATACAAAAAAGTAAGAAGGAGAAAACTCCGGCATTGGTACTCTTGATCGATTCTGAGAAGGCATTCGACAGAGTAAACTGGGGATATATGTTAGACACTTTGGAAGTTTTGGGAAGTGGCCCTAGAATGAGAGAATGGATAAGGAAATTATATAGTCAACCTTCATCTTTCACTTATTATTTTTATTAAAAACTCTCCACTTATCCTCTTCCAGGAAATTATTTAATTCTTTTCTTTTATTTATTATCTTTTGCAAACCCTTTTTTGGGTACTTTATTTTTATGTATCTGCTCTAAATTACAGAGTTCACTAAAAAGTATATTTATTTTTTCCCTTCTTTCCCTCTTCTTTGCCCCTATCGCTATTAGAATTCCTCTGATATAGGCCTTATGAGCTTCCCACACGGTGGCTACCGACACTTCCTCAGATTAATTTTCCTTGAAAAATTGCTCTATTTCTTTCTTAACTTTCTGATCAGTCTCTTGATCCTGAAGAAGTGTCTCATTTAACCTCCATGATTTTCCTTCACTCCGCTCATTTCCCCATAGTAATTGCATTGTGACAGGAGCACAGTCAGAAATTGACATGGTTTCTATGTTTACTTTAACCAAAGACTCAATGAGTTGATGGTCCAACAGTATGTAATCCAATCTTGAGTACATCTTGTGTGCATGAGAATAAAACGCATAGTCTCTATTCTTCACATGCTTGATTCTCCATATATCTACCAGTTGACATTGATATACCATTTTTTTCAGATTTTTCAAAAACCTACTACCATCTCTATGCACCGGAAAGGTCACATCCATCTGTGGATCCATACAAAGATTGAAATTTCCTGCCACAATCAAACTACCTTTTTTGAAATCCATTAATTTCCTCAGAATATATTTTAGGAATGCTTCCGGTTTCTTATTCAGGCAATAAATATGTAGTTTTCCTTTCAAAAACAGGAATCTCCCTTCCAGATCTACCAATCTCTCTTCCAACTTAAACCTTATTTTTTTCGCAAATCCTATTGCCACTCCCTTTGCACGTTTAACTGGGGAATCTGCATAAAACCACTCTGGATAATGTCTAGATTGTAACTTCATATTTGTTTCTTGTACTAGATGAGTCTCTTGTAGAAACACCACTGAGGAAAATCTATGTTGAAGTTCTTTAAGAATCCTAAATTTCTTCCCAGGACTATTTAAACCTCTAACATTATAAGTCACAAAGTGAATCTCTTCTATTTTTCTCTTTTTCTCACCTCCTCTCATCCTTCTTCGCCCTCCTCCTCTCTCTCCTTCTCTACCCCATATTTTCCCCTTCCTTCTCTAAAGTTTCTCCAAACTAGTGTACCTCCAACTATCCCGCATAATCTGAGGCTGCCAACTACCCCCCCATATCCCTCCCCCCAATCCCCACCTCCCATCCCCTCCCTTTTTAGGTCAATATTTTGCCTATGAATCATTCGTGGTCTTAATCACACTCTTGATTCCACTTTAGGGTGCAACTCTGAGCATGCACACCTCATCCCATTTACCCTCCCCCAGCGTCCTGCCAAGACAAGAAGAAGAAAAGGGAAAAAAAAAGGGACGGAAAAGGGAGTAAGGAAAAGGGGGGGGGCGGGGAGGAGGAGAGGGAGAGGGAAAGGGGAGGGGAAAAAAAGAAGAAACCCCCCCCCCCCCGAAACCTCACTACCACTTCTCTCTCTCCTCCTCCACAACCCCCCCCCCCCCACATCCCCACCACTACCCCCAACCTCCCTCCTATGCTACCTGCCACCTCTCATTCTCCCTAATCCATCTCTTCTCCACCCCACTCCTCACCCAGGAATATCTATATTTTGAAACTCAAGTCTCTCACAGAAGTCTCTCAGTTCTTAAGGAAACTTTAATCTTGTAGATCGTCCATTTTTCCACCCGATTTAACATGCTGGGAACTCCCAGCTATGTCGAACACCCTGCTTCTTCATTTGTTCTACCAATGGTTTAAAAAATTTTTTTTTTTTAGAGTGTCTCTGCAGCAAGATTAGCAGTAGTAGTAGTCGAATTGAGCAATAACATCTCTCGATCTTCCTTTTCCCCCTCCTTGAAGTAATCTTCCGACTCTGTACACCCCATCAATTTGATAGAATTCTGCTGCAGATCTGTCCATTATAGTGTCAAACATGTTCTCTATCGTTTCCCTCAGATCTTCTCCTTGAAAAATCTCTGGTAGGCCAGGTATCCTTAAACTGCATCCTCTGTTCCTATTGTCTTGGTCTTCCAATTTATATAACAGATTTCTTTGTTCTTTTTTCATTTCCACCATTTTGTTTTCTAAGGTCTGTATCTCTTGATTGTGCTTGCTTGTTTTTTCTTCCATCTCTTCCACTCTAGAAAGAGCCTGCCCCAGTTCTTTATGTAACTTTACCATCTCTTTTTTTATAGTTGTTTCCAGACCTTTAAACATTTCTGTTATTTCTGATTTAGTCGGCAACTGTGAGTCTTGACCTTCCAAATTCTGCGGAACATTTATTTTCTCAAAATCTGCTTCTTCCAGGTTTTGGCTAATATTAGACATTCCCAGGGATATTCTGGGTCTCTCACCACTGTTGTTCTCCATCCCACTCTGCCTCTCAGGGGTCTGTTTATCCTGCCCGGGGATATATTTCTTAATTGAGCTTGATTTGGGGACCTTTGACCCCCCTCCTTTTGTTGCTTTGTTCTTCATTTTAATATAATTCCAGTGTCCAATATCTGACGGGATCAATAATCCACTCCTCCTTTTAAATATTCCCCTTCTTCTTTCCTCCTATCTCCCTCTTAAACCTCCAACAGGAGCTAGCTTTCTCTCCTTTACTTCTTCCTTTTTTCTCTTCTTTCCCTCCTTCCTGTCCACAATTTAAATATATTTTAAATATGTTCAAATACAAGACCCTCTTTAATCTCCGTAATGTCCCTTGAGTGCAGCCCCTGCTCCTTTAACCATCCATATTTACTTCAATCTTCAATTTAACACTTAACATATAGCACAGTCCATTCTCTTCTGCCGCTCTCACTCACCCTTTTAGCTCTCACTTCTTCTCTTCCAAGGGGGGGTGGCTTCTGGCGGTCTCGTTGGCAGAGGGGCTGCAAAAAAGGGTCCCTCCAATTCAGCAGGCTTTCCAGGGTATATCACTTCTGCAACTATACTTATGTACAGTCAGTCCATGCCACATAGGAAACTGCTTTTTATTGCTAGCCCTGGGAGTTGAGCCTGTGTATCAATATTGGAGCGGTGCTGGTCAGAGTTCCCACCATTTAACTTTTCCATGTACTCCAGCTCCCAGGAAGAGATCCAGCTAAGGAGGTGCAGGAGACAGGTGAGAGAGGGAGATAGGGGAGAGAGGGGAGCTCAATGCTACAGTCCTTTCCTGTGTCGTATGCCAGCCGGCGCCTCCCCCCTTAGACTCCCCTGCAGCAGGTCACATGACCAGCTGGCGTCCTGGACCCCCCCGCCCCCTGGTTCGGGCCCTCCTCCACACACACACCCCCCAGCACACTGAGGGTCCACGGGCGTCAGGCCGGACACTGGAGCTCACCCATGGGACAAGGCAACAGGCAAGTCACCCTCCTCCTTCCCGGCTATCCCCCTTCTTCCATACAGGTCTATTTAGCAAGACGCTGCAGGAGCCTGGGTTTTGGAGATCTTACAGCGATCTCCGGTTCAGCGCCATACTCAGGCTCCTCCCCCCACCTGCTTCATCTCCCCCAAGATCCTTCTCCACCATTGAACCCTCCAGTTGTACCCCCCTAGTATTTATGATGCATGTATATTCTTAGCCCCCAAGTGCATAACCTTACATTTATCAACATTAAACATCATTTGCCACATAGTTGCCCAATTAAACAGTGCATTGAGGTTGGCTTGTAAGTTGAACACATCCTGTAAGGATGTTATTCCACTGCACAGCTTGTTGTCATCTACAAAGACTGAAATGGTATTTTTAATCCCAGACACTATATTGTTTATAAATATATTAAAAAGTAAGGGTCCCAACATTGCATCTTGGGGTACACC